CAGTCCTTCTCGGTCCTCCTCTTTCTCCTCAGTCTTCCTCCTCCTCCTCCTCAGTTCTCTTCCTCATCCTCCTCCTTCTTCTCTTCCTTCTCCTCCTAATCAGTCCTCCTCCTAATCAGTCCTCCTCCTCAGTCGTCCTCCTCCTCGTCCTTAGTCCTCGTCCTCATCGTCCTTAGTCCTCGTCCTCATCCTCCTAGTCCTCGTCCTTAGTCCTCGTCCTCATCCTCCTAGTGCTCACTGCTCGTCCTGGTCCTCCTCAGTCTTCCTCCTCTGTCCTCCTCAGTCCTCCTTCTCCTCAGTCCTCCTCAGTCCTCCTTCTCCTCAGTCCTCCTCCTCCTCATCAGTTTACACAATTTATTGTTACTAAAATGTTTTTAAACGCATTTGAGTCTGTAACATATTGACATGTTACTGTTACTGACTCAAAATGTGCTCGAGAATTTTTTTGTTTAATAGAGTTTTACTCTCCAGTACTATGGAAAAGTTGTTACATGATAAATAAAGATTTTGATAAATAAAGTGATTTTCATCCCTTTTAATGTTATTGAAAATTGTGTAGACTATTCTTTGTATCTAACTGAGGATTGGAAGTTTGAGAAAGGACCAGTCATTAACCGTGCTACCCATTTCTGCAGATAGCCTGTTACAAATTGTGGAGATAAATTGTGGAGACAATTTAAATCAAAAGTTACTAAAGCGTTCGCTATTTGTTACGATTGTTATTACCAACCGTACCTCTTTCAATTGTGGACCGGTGTGGATGTTTCTGTCAAACAAGAGTTGATTCGACATTGTGTTGTTTTTCGGACGAAACGATTCTTGTTTGGAACAAGATACCATTTTGGAGTTCTGGGACCACCACCAATCGATTTCTTGTCATATTTAAGTACAGAAATAGCTACCTATATCGCCTAGAAACCTCAGAGGGAAGATTTAAATTTTCCCGATTTTTCCGATATGAGGGTTGATGAGGCCAAAATCGGGATCGGAATGATCGGAATTGATCGGGTTGGACCCCCCCCACATATTACGTAATCAATATTTTAGCAATTTTTACCCCCTCCCCCTCCGTAATCAACCGTAATCAAGACCCAAGCCCCCTCCGCCCCTGCTGACAGCAATATTACGTAATAATGGCCTGACCCCCCTAACTTTTTTCCCTAGAAAACACTTTTCTCTAGGTTTCATGCTACCCTGATCATGCTATCGTGATGAGCCGAAATCATTGTTATGATATCCGGCCAAGCACCTTCTAAAATACTTACTATTATAGCCTGATATCTGATCAATTTCTAAATTTTATCACTATCAGAGTGAAATTAAGTGGAATTTGAATTAAAATATTGTCAAATTGTTATTATTCTAGATAAGAGGGTAAAAGAAAATGTTGATTACGTTATCAACGACCAACCCCCCCCCCCCCCCCCCCCCCCCCCCCCCTAATCAACCGTAATCATTACGCCCCCTCGGCTGATTACGTAATATGTGAACGACCCCTTATGTCAAATAAAACAGATCCAGAGAGAAGGGTAAACCATATTTTAGCTGACTTGTTGCTGAATAATGGTCGGGCGTAGTTGTGTAGCTATAGTATACAACAGCTACAGAGGCGTAACATTATGTGTAATGGCATTATTTTGTAATACTCTGCCATACCACAAAAAATAAAGTAACGTTTTTCATTAGAGAGTTAGAGTTAGAGAGAGAGAGAGAGAGAGAGAGAGAGAGAGAGAGAGAGAGAGAGAGAGAGAGAGAGAGAGAGAGAGAGAGAGAGAGAGAGAGAGAGAGAGAGAGAGAGAGAGAGAGAGAGAGAGAGAGAGAGAGAGAGAGAGAGAGAGAGAGAGAGAGAGAGAGAGAGAGAGAGAGAGAGAGAGAGAGAGAGAGTCCCTCTCAGCGACACATTAATTACTTTAAACTCCGTCCAAAACAGAGCAGCACCTCGTTCTCTTAGATTTCAATCATGAGATTGAAATGTTGAGAGGGGCCAAATGAAAACATTATACAGTTATACGCACTGCACGCTTTAAGCTTAGTTACTTGTGTTGAGACACAATAACATATACCTGTTATAATGAGTTGTGCTCATGTGCTGCTAGCTAGATTTGAACGTTATTCTTATTGTCACGCTCTACACATCTTCACTAACATATACAAAGAATATGTTATATTGTAGCCACCTTAGTGCTACACTACACTCTACAGCCATGTAGTGGCAGGTAATGCAGAATCAGATCTGTAAAACACATCACGTCACTGTTTTGGTCGTTGATTACAAAATATATATCTGCACATATCGTAACTGAAACTGGTCGTCCTACTCGGTGGAAAACACATCACGTCACTGCACATATCGTAACTGGAACTGGTCGTCCTACTCGGTGGAAAACACATCACGTCACTGCACATATCGTAACTGAAACTGGTTGTGTCAGTGGAAGAGTCCACAAAATGAAGAGCATGTTTTAAGGATGAACCAGCCGCGATTTATTATTTATTGTAAATATTTTGAGGGATGGGAACCGGACACGAGGGCGGAGGACACGAGGGCGGTACCAAACACCGTTCTAAATGATAAACTAGCAATTTGAACTTGTAACATCACACAATTGAATTTAACTTTTGTTTATTAGCGTCAACCAACTTTTAATTTAATACACATTAATGATTGATTAATATATTTTAGCTGTTACCATAATATATGTATATATTATATAACTATATAATTATAAATATATATAATTTAATTACATCTGATGAGACTTTACTGGCAAAACATTAGATTAAACGTGTTTTTTGATGTCAGGTTGACGTTAAGCTTAGCTGGAAGAATTGGATCTACTCACGTGTAAATTTGAAACAAAACATAGTGATTTGACAAATTTAATAATCACCAGATTTAAACGAGCAAAAAATTGAGAGATTTTCCATTTACTTTTTCCTTTTACTTAAATATCTCAGCCAACTCAACACCCCCTCCCCACAACTCAGCAGCAGATTTGTGACAAACCCGATCTTCTGAATATCACAGATAGATGGCATCTTTTATGAACCCATTATATCGTACCAGTACTGTTGAAGGTACATAGTGTGGCTGGACCAATGTTTCCATTATATCGTACCAGTACTGTTGAAGGTACACAGTGTGGCTGGACCAATGTTTCCATTATATCGTACCAGTACTGTTGAAGGTACATAGTGTGGCTGGACCAATGTTTCCATTATATCCTACCAGTACTGTTGACGGTACACAGTGTGGCTGGATCAATGTTTCCATTATATCTTACCAGTACTGTTGAAGGTACACAGTGTGACCAATGTTTCCATTATATCCTACCAGTGCTGTTGAAGGTACACAGTGTGACCAATGTTTCCATTATATCCTACCAGTACTGTTGAAGGTACACAGTGTGGCTGGACCAATGTTTCCATTATATCCCACCAGTACTGTTGAAGGTACACAGTGTGGCTGGACCAATGTTTCCATTATATTCTACCAGTACTGTTGAAGGTACACAGTGTGGCTGGACCAATGTTTCCATTATATTCTACCAGTACTGTTGATGGTACACAGTGTGACCAATGTTTCCATTATCCTAGGAGTGCAGCAGATGTGCTTGCTGTAAAAACCTGATACACAGTTATACAGGTGGTGTAGTTATACAGGTGGTGTAGAGTCTACCTGTACACTGTAGACCTGGTTATTTTACATTCATTAGTGTTGTGAGATTCGTGTAGCAGCACTGTACAGATAGCTGGTGATCTATTTCACGTAACGCCAATATTTAAATTTTAGAATATTATAATTATTGTTTCTGTTGTTGTTATAAGAAGTTCCGGTTATTTCTAGTGGTATAAGTGTAGTATCAGTAGTAATACTAGTATTTCTCTTATTTTACTGCTTTGTAACTCCTTTAAGTCTGGAACTCTGGAGCGTGTCCTTGTTTGATTCAGTAAACTCACTATAATGTCGCGTTTTGTTGCATTTTAAATGGGGACTTCTGCTGGAGAATTTAAAATTGTAACGCCTTCCCTTTAACTCTCAATCGTTTGAATTTGGTTTAATTACATAAAAGGTTGAGTATATAATATCTATACTAATAGTAGTGACGGGTTACACTAGTAGTACACCCCACTAAAATATTCCCCATTTACCTGTAACTCTGTAGTCCCCCCACGCTGTTCCACAGTTCACTGCACGTTTTACAAGGTAGCACAAAACATTTAACAACTTTATTTAGCGATTTTAGTGAAGGTGTGACATAAATAAGACATAATCTAAATCATCATTATAACATGTATCTTACTATTTTGCAGTCGGTTAAAGGTTTCGCAGTCACCACAACCTAAACTTAGACCAAGCAGTGTTCAGTATTTTAACTAAACCACACAGTGTTCAGTATTTTAACTAAACCACACAGTGTTCAGTATTTTAACTAAACCACACAGGATTCAGTATTTTAACTAAACCACACAGTATTCAGTATTTTAACTAAACCACACAGTGTTCAGTATTTTAACTAAACCACACAGTGTTCAGTATTTTAACTAAACCACACAGTGTTAAGTATTTTAACTAAACCACACAGTGTTCAGTATTTTAACTAAACCACACAGTGTTCAGTATTTTAACTAAACCACACAGTGTTCAGTATTTTAACTAAACCACACAGTGTTCAGTATTTTAACTAAACCACACAGTGTTCAGTATTTTAACTAAACAACTAAAATTCTCGACCAGTTCAGGACTGATGAGCTAACTGGTGATGTTCACATGTTTTGTGATCATGTGTTGTTATTTGTCGCAATTAAATAGGACAATTAAATAGGACAACAGTCGTATTTTCGGTAACTAAATTCGGACAAGAGTTGTGTTACATAAATAGGGTGTAACACTTATATCTACTTTCTACTAATCATTTAAATTAATTAATATACCGTTGAATAATTATTGATATTTGATTGCTACTAAACAGGAAACAGGATTTACTAAATTCATTTTCATTTTAGGTTTAGCTTATGAAGATTGAAACGAGAACAGAAGATAATGAAAAAAGAAAAACGATATTACCAGAAGATAGCATGTAAGATAACTACAGCTATTGTGAAACTACCCTGAAGTAAACATCTTCATTCTACATCAGCCCTTCTTCCTGCTGTTACCAACAGAAGTGTTATCAGTGTAAAGATCTGTTTAGCAGTTACTATCCTACACCGGAAACATTACATTGTACAAGATCGCACCTATGTCAGATGGAGCTGCAAGGGAAGAAGTAGACACTCCTGAGCCTGCATCCCCTCCCCACACTCAGGTAAATACACTCCTGAGCCTGCACCCCCTCCCCACAATCAGGTAAATACACTCCTGAGTCTGCATCCCCTCCCCACAATCAGGTAAATACACTCCTGAGTCTGCATCCCCTCCCACACTCAGGTAAATACACTCCTGAGTCTGCACCCCCTCCCCACAATCAGGTAAATACACTCCTGAGTCTGCACCCCCTCCCCACACTCAGGTAAATACACTCCTGAGTCTGCACCCCCTCCCCACACTCCTGAGTCTGCATCCCCTCCCACACTCAGGTGAATACACTCCTGAGTCTGCACCCCCTCCCCACACTCAGGTAAATACACTCCTGAGCCTGCACCCCCTCCCCACACTCAGGTAAATACACTCCTGAGCCTGCATCCCCTCCCCACACTCAGGTAAATACACTCCTGAGTCTGCACCCCCTCCCCACACTCCTGAGTCTGCATCCCCTCCCCACACTCCTCAGCCTGCATTCCCTCCCCACACTCAGGTAAATACACTCCTGAGCCTGCACCCCTCCCCACACTCCTGAGTCTGCACCACCTCCCCACACTCCTGAGTCTGCATCCCCTCCCCACACTCCTCAGCCTGCATTCCCTACCCACACTCAGGTAAATACACTCCTGAGTGTGCATCCCCTCCCACACTCAGGTAAATACACTCCTGAGCCTGCATCCCCTCCCCACACTCAGGTAAATACACTCCTGAGTCTGCACCCCCTCCCCACACTCCTGAGTCTGCATCCCCTCCCCACACTCAGGTAAATACACTCCTGAGCTTGCATCCCCTCCCCACACTCAGGTAAATACACTCCTGAGTCTGCACCCCCTCCCCACACTCAGGTAAATACACTCCTGAGTCTGCACCCCCTCCCCACACTCCTGAGTCTGCATCCCCTCCCCACACTCCTCAGCCTGCATTCCCTCCCCACACTCAGGTAAATACACTCCTGAGCCTGCACCCCTCCCCACACTCCTGAGTCTGCACCACCTCCCCACACTCCTGAGTCTGCATCCCCTCCCCACACTCCTCAGTCTGCACCCCCTCCCACACTCAGGTAAATACACTCCTGAGTGTGCATCCCCTCCCACACTCAGGTAAATACACTCCTGAGTCTGCATCCCCTCCCCACACTCAGGTAAATACACTCCTGAGTCTGCATCCCCTCCCCACACTCAGGTAAATACACTCCTGAGCTTGCATCCCCCTCCCACACTCAGGTAAATACACTCCTGAGTCTGCACCCCCTCCCCACACTCAGGTAAATACACTCCTGAGCCTGCACCCCCTCCCCACACTCAGGTAAATACACTCCTGAGTCTGCATCCCCTCCCACACTCAGGTAAATACACTCCTGAGCTTGCATCCCCTCCCACACTCAGGTAAATACACTCCTGAGTCTGCACCCCCTCCCCACACTCCTGAGTCTGCATCCCCTCCCACACTCAGGTAAATACACTCCTCAGCCTGCACCCCCTCCCCACACTCCTGAGTGTGCATCCCCTCCCCACAATCAGGTAAATACACTCCTGAGTCTGCATCCCCTCCCACACTCAGGTAAATACACTCCTGAGCTTGCATCCCCTCCCCACACTCAGGTAAATACACTCCTGAGTCTGCACCCCCCTCCCCACACTCCTGAGTCTGCATCCCCTCCCCACACTCAGGTAAATACACTCCTGAGTCTGCACCCCCTCCCCACACTCCTGAGTGTGCATCCCCTCCCCACAATCAGGTAAATACACTCCTGAGTCTGCATCCCCTCCCACACTCAGGTAAATACACTCCTCAGCCTGCACCCCCTCCCCACAATCAGGTAAATACACTCCTCAGCCTGCACCCCCTCCCCACAATCAGGTAAATACACTCCTGAGTCTGCATCCCCTCCCCACACTCAGGTAAATACACTCCTGAGTCTGCACCCCCTCCCCACACTCCTGAGTGTGCATCCCCTCCCCACAATCAGGTAAATACACTCCTGAGTCTGCATCCCCTCCCACACTCAGGTAAATACACTCCTGAGCTTGCATCCTCTCCCCACACTCAGGTAAATACACTCCTGAGTCTGCACCCCCTCCCCACACTCCTGAGTCTGCATCCCCTCCCACACTCAGGTAAATACACTCCTCAGCCTGCACCCCCTCCCACAATCAGGTAAATACACTCCTGAGTCTGCACCCCCTCCCCACACTCAGGTAAATACACTCCTGAGTCTGCACCCCCTCCCCACACTCCTGAGTGTGCATCCCCTCCCCACAATCAGGTAAATACACTCCTGAGTCTGCATCCCCTCCCACACTCAGGTAAATACACTCCTGAGCTTGCATCCCCTCCCCACACTCAGGTAAATACACTCCTGAGTCTGCACCCCCTCCCCACACTCCTGAGTCTGCATCCCCTCCCACACTCAGGTAAATACACTCCTCAGCCTGCACCCCCTCCCCACAATCAGGTAAATACACTCCTGAGTCTGCACCCCCTCCCCACACTCCTGAGTGTGCACCCCCTCCCCACACTCAGGTAAATACACTCCTGAGTCTGCATCCCCTCCCACACTCAGGTAAATACACTCCTGAGCTTGCATCCCCTCCCCACACTCAGGTAAATACACTCCTGAGTCTGCACCCCCTCCCCACACTCCTGAGTCTGCATCCCCTCCCACACTCAGGTAAATACACTCCTCAGCCTGCACCCCCTCCCCACACTCCTGAGTCTGCATCCCCTCCCCACACTCAGGTAAATACACTCCTGAGTCTGCACCCCCTCCCCACACTCCTGAGTGTGCATCCCCTCCCCACACTCAGGTAAATACACTCCTGAGTCTGCACCCCCTCCCCACACTCAGGTAAATACACTCCTCAGCCTGCATCAGGAGGGTTCAGGACCGAATGTTCGGCTGATTTCGGAACCGGCCGGATAATTGAAAATTTTATTTTTTTAAAATTGCTCGATTGATTACGTTTACGAACCGTTAGTACTAGCTTGATCATCATTATGTGTGTCTGAGCTTTCTTCGCATGTGATTCCTGATAAAGTTTGAACTTACACCCAATTATCTAAAAATCGCATCATTTGTTATGATAGCTGTGTTTGCATCCAGTACTCAGGATGCTTTATTTCACCATAGTTTTGTTCGAGGCTTAATCTGGTCGCTATAAATTCTGATTTTGAATTCGATCAGCGACGATTTTCTGCTTTGAGTGGCTTCCGAGTGAAATTTGTGGGTCTAAAATTAATATTAAACGGCCAATTTTCAATTTTCTAATAGCACTCAAAAGAACAACAGCACATGTTATGATACACATGTTATGATAAAGACAAACAATCGCGATCAAGTTGAGAAGTATGGTTCGGTGCTATCGTAAGATAAAGTCTAGATGGTGGTATCAGTAAAATGGCAACAGATATATTTTCATTTACATCGTCTCGCTCTATAAATGGTAAGATTTGACTGTTCGCAGAATGAGTCTACTGAGAAGCAGCATAACGTGGACAGTCTGAGTAGCGACAGTGACTACGAGGAAACCACTGCTACAGGTAGGGAACATGTTCCTGTGGGTCCAACGTATGGCCATAGTTATTAATTTCCATTGTAATCATGCTTCCGTGGTTAATGCCATTATCTTAGAACGTTAGAACGTTAGAATTTAACGTTAATCTATGTTTTAATAACATTTGCTCAGAGGGAGAGGATGGAATTCACCGCAAAGCTTCTTGGAGGAAACTGTCAACTAACGTGTGTAGGAAAGGTATGTTTTACTCAACTAACGTGTGTAGGAAAGGTATGTTTTACTCAACTAACGTGTGTAGGAAAGGTATGTTTTACTCAACTAACGTGTGTAGGAAAGGTATGTTTTACTCAACTAACGTGTGTAGGAAAGGTATGTTTTACTCAACTAACGTGTGTAGGAAAGGTATGTTTTACTCAACTAACGTGTGTAGGAAAGGTATGTTTTAAGATTACTCAAGATAGCGGATAAACACCTTCAACTCTTTTAAATAATAATAACACCGTATTTTAAAGCGTGTTCTCCGATTAAAAGCGAACTGCAGCTCAGATAAGGTTTCCTCAGGGATCATGAAGGAAGGGCACCTCCTGAAGCACGCCTCCTCGTTTCAGCGATCCAAGAGATACCACTTTATCCTGAAGGAGGTCAGCGCATTTTTAATGCTTTTTAAGCCAAATCGTCATGGTTAAGGCTAATTTCCCATAAAGCGATAAAAATTTCAGTTACCTATCACAAAATTTCCATCAGTTAAAAAAAAAACTTGATTAAGAACGAATGAGTAGAATGAATAATATGACTGCAGGGGAAACTGTTCTACGGGAAGGATACTTGCAGCTCACTTCATGTGGAGGTGTCACTGACAGGGGCAAGTGTGGCGGAGTGCAGCAAGAAGAACGTCAACAACAGCTTCACTGTAAGTTACCAGACCTTTTACCAGGGTACCAGGTAACCAGGATACCAGATTACTAGGTTACCAGGATACCAGGTTACCAGGTTACCAGGTTACCAGGATACCAGGTTACCAGGTTACCAGGATACCAGGTTACCAGGTTACCAGGATACCAGGTTACCAGGATACCAGGTTACCAGGTTACCAGGTTACCAGGTTACCAGAATACCAGGTTACCAGGATACCAGGATACCATGTTGACAGGATACCAGGATACTATGTTTCTTTTAAATGCATGACAATATGACAACCGACCACTTGCTGATGAAGATAACATCTCAGATAATATCCCCTCTGCGGTCTCACATGTTCTCAGCTGAAAACAGAAGAGATATGGAGGAGTGGATAGAAGCTATTTCTAGGAGTATAGCAGCTTCTAGCAGTGAGAAAAATTACGTAAGTTGTCGTCTGACGGTGGATATTGCGCAGTCTTATTTTGTGTGATATGGTGTGATATTGTGCAGTTTTATATTGTGTGATACAGAGTGATAAAGCTAATGCTGACTTCAGAAGCTAGAGTTTCCGGTGGTGGCTAAACACAACTGGTACACGAGTAGTTACTCCAGAGGGGCCTTCTGTAACGTGTGTAGGGAACTCCTCTCCCCTCTCAAACGATCAGTCCTCGCTTGTGAAGGTGCCGTGTAAACATAATCACATAATTTATTTGTAATATGATAATTACTACCCGATCTGCTGACTCACCTTTATACTTGTAAACTCTAACAATGACACCCTGAATGTATATTTTGAAGAAAATGTTGTAACTTTCAGTATGCCAGATGATGGCGCACAAGAAATGTGCCGCCAAAACAGCTGTATCTTGTAAATGGACTCACAAGGAGTCCATGCCAGCAAATGTAGCCTCCGATCACAATGTGAGTTCTGACAAAATAAATCTCACATCTGAGGGGGGGGGGGGCCCTCTACATGTTAGTTTAAAATACAGGGGGGGGGGCTCTACATGTTAGTTTAAAATACAGGGGAGGGGGGGGGGGGCCTCTACATGTTAGTTTAAAATACAGGGGAGGGGGGGGCCTCTACATGTTAGTTTAAAATACAGGGGGGGGGGGGGCTCTACATGTTAGTTTAAAATACAGGGGAGGGGGGCCTCTACATGTTACTATGTTAGTTTAAAATACAGGGGGGGGGCTCTACATGTTAGTTTAAAATACAGGGGGAGGGGGGCCTCTACATGTTAGTTTAAAATACAGGGGGAGGGGGGCCTCTACATGTTAGTTTAAAATACAGGGGGGGGGGGCTCTACATGTTAGTTTAAAATACAGGGGAGGGGGGCCTCTACATGTTACTATGTTAGTTTAAAATACAGGGGGGGCTCTACATGTTAGTTTAAAATACAGGGGGAGGGGGGCCTCTACATGTTAGTTTAAAATACAGGGGGAGGGGGGCCTCTACATGTTAGTTTAAAATACAGGGGGAGGGAGGCCTCTACATGTTAGTTTAAAATACAGGGGGAGGGGGGCCTCTACATGTTAGTTTAAAATACAGGGGGAGGGGGGCCTCTACATGTTAGTTTAAAATATAAAGTACTTAATAACTCCACACGCCCTGCATTGACTCTTGTTTGTTGTTCAGGCTATGATACACCAGTGGATGGAAGGGAACCTGACGTCCGGCTCCAAGTGTGGTTACTGTGATAAACTGTGTGGAGTTAGCAGAACCTGTCCTTCTTGGAGGTGCCTCTGGTGCCATCAAACGGTACATTTGTAACTGTTCAGCCAGCCAGACAATATATAGTAGTAATATTAGTAATAAAATACTACTACTAGTAGTTTTAGTACTAGTACTAGTCTATCTTAAACCAGTCTAACTTTGACAGTACGAACGTTAGTTAGTATTTACTCAGCTTCAGTACCTGAACAGGTTTATCAGCTACATTTCAGCTTGTTGATTTGTATTTGTTGTGGTAGTTAACCTGAATGTGATGACTATCTCAGGTTCACGGAGGTTGCAGGAGCGTGATAACTGGGTACTGTGACATGGGACCCCAGGGCAACTCTATTCTTTCTCCACAGCACGTGTCCATGGCAGACACTCTCACTGTTACAAGGGTAATACTCTCCGTTCTTTTGACACGTGACACGTTGTTTTGACACGTGACACGTTGTTTTGACACGTGACACGCTATTTGACACGTGACACGTTGTTTTGACACGTTACAAATCCGAACAGTGTAAAACATGGACTGCCTACTTTATTTGCTCTCCAACCGCTAGTTAAGTTAACACTGAACAAGGGTTCCAGTTATAACTTAAATTTCTCTATAATATCTCCCATTTTTTTCCTATAATATCTCCCATTCCTGACAGCAATTTTACTTGTTTCTTCAATTCATCATCAAAAGCAATGTATGAAGAATTTCTAATCACATTTATTGTACTATCTTTATTGTACTATCTTTATTGTACTATCTTTAATCTTTATTGTACTACCTTTATTGTACTATTTTTATTGTACTATTTTTATTGTACTATCTTTATTGTACTATCTTTATTGTACTATCTTTATTGTACTATCTTTATTGTACTATATTTATTGTACTATCTTTATTGTACTATCTTTATTGTACTATCTTTATTGTACTACCTTTATTGTACTATATTTATTGTACTATCTTTATTGTACTATCTTTATTGTACTATATTTATTGTACTATCTTTATTGTACTATCTTTATTGTACTATCTTTATTGTACTATCTTTATTGTACTATCTTTATTGTACTATCTTTATTGTACTATATTTATTGTACTATCTTTATTGTACTATCTTTATTGTACTATCTTTATTGTACTATCTTTATTGTACTATCTTTATTGTACTATCTTTATTGTACTATATTTATTGTACTATCTTTATTGTACTATCTTTATTGTACTATCTTTATTGTACTATCTTTATTGCACTATCTTTATTGTACTATCTTTATTGTACTATCTTTATTGCACTATCTTTATTGTACTATCTTTATTGTACTATCTTTATTGTACTATCTTTATTGTACTATCTTTATTGTACAATCTTTATTGTACTATATTTATTGTACTATCTTTATTGTACTATCTTTATTGTACTATATTTATTGTACTATCTTTATTGTACTATCTTTATTGTACTATCTTTATTGTACTATCTTTATTGTACTATCTTTACTGTACTATCTCTACTGTACTATCTTTACTGTACTATCTTTATATCCGCTAGGTCCGCAACACACTAGGCTGCTGTCCGTTACTTGTTTTCATCAACTCCAAGAGTGGAGACGCGCAGGTAGTTAACCTGATTTATTTGTAACTTTTGCTTCTTTTGTTTCTTTCTCTTCTTCCGAGTTTTCAAAACCCTTTCTCTAATGAATTTGTTCAGGGAGTGAAGTTCCTAAGAAAGTTTAAAGAGCTGCTGAATCCAATACAAGTGTTTGACCTGATGAACGGAGGACCTATGCCTGGGTTAGTTATTGGAATATTTCACACACACGTTACAACAGATTGTAACGTCAAGTGCATCTTTAGTTTGTTATCCATTTAACTTCTATTAACTATGTTATAGTAAGTCAACAAGCAACATTTGGATATGGTGTTCAACAAAAGGTGCAAGGAGCACTTCTCAATAAGTACTAGTAGGTGGTTTGGTCTGATGAAGTATGTGCAGGTTGATGCTGTTTCAAGAGTTGGAGCAGTTCAGGGTGATGGTATGTGGAGGTGACGGGAGTGTGGGGTGGGTGCTCTCAGCTATAGACCAGCTAGAACTGCACCAGCAGTGTCAGTTTGGTATTCTCCCGCTGGGAACTGGTAACGATCTAGCTAGAGTATTCGGGTGGGGGAGTGGCTTTGACAACGAGATACTGTTACCTCAAGTACTGTTTGACTACAATCACGCTGGAGTAAAGATGTTGGACAGGTTAGTTAGGGGGAGGGGTAACAGAGTCTTCTCCCAACAATACAGGTATCACGTTTGTTTTTCAGAAATTTTCCTTTTTTCAGCTGAAAATACTTGGTGAGTTAATCGCTGCTGAAGTTTGGCTACTTTATTTAATCATCAGCATGATTATCGCAGGCATTACGTGTAACACAGTCGCGTACTTTTCATTTTATTGAAGTCTCTTAAAGATGACTGAAATGCAGGGGGGGAGGGGGGGGAGGGGAGGGGGCTATTATGTGCATATATTTGCAAAATGCACAAAGTATTATACAAAGTGTTATAGGTACATGTGAATGGTTTTTACCGGTTACTCCTCACGTACTGTGTTCACGTGCACGTCTACTAGACACGCACTGTAGCGGGGTTATGGTCTGTGGTACTTGGAGATGGTATTCGGGCGGTGTATCCTTTTACCATATATGGAATAATGAGTAATGTATATTGTATGATGTTGACGGCTGCATAAGGTAATATATTTGCACTTGTGAAGGGGGAGGGGGTTACAATTCGCTCACTTGATGTCACACTGGTCGAGTCGTTACACTTGTTGTTACACTTGTTTTTACACTTGTTGTTACACTTGTTGTTACACTTGTTGTTAGACTTGTTGTTAGACTTGTTGAGTTGTTACACTTGTTGAGTTGTTACACTGGTCGAGTTGTTACACTTGTTGTTACACTTGTTGTTACACTTGTTGATTTGTTACACTTGATGTTACACTTGTTGTTACACTTGTTGTTACACTTGTTGAGTTGTTACACTGGTTGAGTTGTTACACTGGTTGAGTTGTTTACACTGACCTCTTCCAGATGGAGTATTCTGATAAGACCTCGACACGTTGGAGATAAGAGAAAAGGAGTGGTTGTACCTCACGAGGTATTTACTTATCATTATATATTAAATTATATTATATACAGATTACAGTTGCATACTTCTAGAACGTTAACTTATAGTGTAAGTTAACTTATAGTGTAAGATCAGCTTATAAACGTTATCATAAACTGCTGCACACTCTGTACTTTACACACAAGTAACAAATTGCTGCACAGCTGGCGAATTAGTTCTTTCAGAACCGTGAACAAAATCTGTTCGATGGGTTGGATTCAACGGTTCTTTAGCAACGACCTGCATACTCCGATTTATCGGGATTTTCGATTATGGGACAATTTCCCCAAATTCATCCTGCTTCAGGATTCAGGAATCCCGATAAATCGGCGTTTTTCTGTATACGAATTTTATAAAAAGGAGTTTTAACATTTAAATGTCTACGTATTTTCAGGAGATCCCATTGTCGCGCTATCAAGACAGTATTGCTAAAAACTTGCTACAGCTGCTTGGCAGTGATGACTTTAGTTCTGTTCTCCATTTGTCACGGTCAGTCTTCAAACACAAGAAAATATTAACTAACTATCAAGTTTAAATGTATCGCTTTGTAAAACTACATGATATTTGCTGTGTGTAGTGTGTGATCACTCACTAGCAAAGCTTCAGACCTGCTGTTAACATGCAACTCATCGCTTTCTAATGAAAGTTATAACTTTCTAATGATTATTGGCGAAGAGCGTGTATTATTTAGGACATTTAACGAGAAAGGTGTGTTTTCACTTCTGTATTTTACTTTTGTGACTTCCAGTGTATTGTCAGGTCCTTGTGTAGAACAATTAAAGATTTTGTGATAAAGATAGCTTCTGCAATGGAAGACGTGGAGGAAGGACAACAAGCTACCGTTCTACAGTACAAGTGTAGTGTTCTAAACGAGAAACTCAATAGATTACTCGATATTATTAACAGAGATATAGTTAACGTGGAGAGCGGGAACGCGCAGGTACACGTGCAAATATGAACTGGTAATTAGTTGTGTGGGGACACGTGTTGTGAGGGCACATACCACGTAGCTGTGCATCAGACACACACATTTATTTAAATGCTATTTAAGACGAGCACTGAATATTCCAATAATTTTTGTAAGATTGACTGTTAGCCTAAACCCTGACTTCCCTCAGTTAATAGAGTCATGTGAAGTTATTGGTAGAGCTAACAGTTTGAGAAGGGCAGTTCAGCGTATAACTGATCACATCGAACAAGGTAATAATTACAATTACCTGGTTGTTAGATGTTTATTATTGCAACGTTCCCAATTCCCATGATATATTTGGAAAGTTTATTCAGTTTTCTGAAGCCTTTCGAAAATGTAAATAAATCTAAAGTAAATTCTATCAGCTATACTGGGTGACAAGTTCTATAGTTTTACAATAGCTCAAGAGTAGAATGAATTCCGAGTTTTGTTGATATTTTGCAACCCTCGTTTCTCTTTCTTAGTTGTAGAAACACAACAGAACGACGGTGCATCACTGCACATTAAAGATAATCTGCCTCTTCCTATGTCAATACCCGGATTAATACTGCCCACCGCTCCCAGGGTCGAAGAAAGGTAAATCACCATCACCATCACCATCACCATCACCATCACCATCACCAAGTAGGTACCAACCATCACCATCACCATCACCATCACCATCACCATCACCATCACCATCACCATCACCAAGTAGGTACCAACCATCACCATCACCATCACCATCACCATCACCATCACCATTTTCATCAAAATCACCATCACCATCACCATCACCATCACCAAGTAGGTACCAACCATCACATAATAGCACAATTTGACTCATCTTAAGACACGTAACAAATAATTTTAGATTAATCAAGTTCACCACGTTGCAGGTTGCTTGTAAACTTATACTACATCATATGAAATACATATTTGCTGTTTTCTGACAAGAGTGCTTAAGTAACATTTTGGAAATTTCGGATTTTTGGTCTAACTTTTGTTTTTGGGTCAAGAACTATCCCTGAGAACCATTGGATACATTCTCCGACCCCCTAAAATCCCCTTTTTGGAACCCCCTTAAATGCAAAAAGTGGTCATTTTTCTGAGAAAAGTGTTTAAAGACCATTTTTGAAAATGGATGCCGTTTATCTCGAAAATGGTGCCATTTCCGAGAGGTTAGGATGACGAAACCTTGTCATAAGTCTCAAAAGTCGACAAAGCATCTTAGAAACATTGTGGGTACAGTTTAAATTTGACAGCAGCTAGCCCAGAGCAATTACAGAATTAAAATCTTTAAAGTCAATTTGCACAAAATGTACAAAAAAAAACGAGAATTAAATAGGTAATACTTATTTTAGTCTCTTGAGTCTTCACACCACTTAAGGGTTAGACGGGTTCCTGCTAGTACAGTATTGTTTTGAAATAAATTTAATCCGCTTACGTTATGTTCAGTCAGTGTTACATTTCATAAATATTTCTTGATGTGATAAAAACTGACTGTCAAAGAACACTCCCGTCTCCCTTTGACGACAGACATCCTAATTAAAAATTAAATTAGATCTATTTTGATCGAAAATAGGAAAATAATATTTGCCGCCGTAGAGTCCTGTTTTTTCAAGCCGTAGATTTTTTAACGCCGTAGAGCCCTGTTTTGTGCGGCAACGCCGTAGAGTCTTACGCCGTAGAGTCTCACGCCGTAGAGTCCGGACCCCGAGATACTCCATTACCTCACATTACCTTACAGAGAGATACTTCATTACCTGATCATTTAAGCAAATGTAACCGTTTAATGAGATTCTGATTTCTGTCCTACTATCTACCCCAATATGGTATATTAAACACGACCTTTCAATGAACCTAATTAACATGTGTGGACAGTGGAGCTCACACTAGTGCATCTGTTGTGAAATTCACCTGTCTAACGAGGAGTAATACCTCAAGTTTGGCAAATTCCCCCAAACTTGCACAGATTATCAGTCTTATAGCCATGTAAGTTTAAAGAAAATCTATCAGTCTGATCTCTAAATATATGCCTGCGTTCCGCAGAAAGCGCCAATTTGGGGATATTTTCTTGTGTTTGAGGTCATATCTCAAGTTTGGCACATAGAAATTCGCCCAAACTAAACACATTATCCGTCATATAGTTATCATGTAACTATTTGGAAAGTTAATGAAAATTCTGTCGGTCAGTTCTTGTATTGAGAAAATCGAAAATATATTCTAAGTTATTCACTAAAACACACGATTTTCGAACTTTTCATTTGGAACAGATTTGTCGAAAGTCCTTCTGTGCATCCTTCGAGAGGCACTGTATGTTGTAACGCGCGACGACCTTTTTCTGAAGTCATGTCTCACAAAACGCGCAAATGACGCGCGTTTTTGTTTTCTAACTGATTAATCTTGTAACATGGGTTGGAGGATGGTGAACGCGTTGCCAGCCAAATGGAAATTATGTTTCAATCATGACAAGTTAAGTGTTGTTTGTAATTTTACAGAACTGAAAGAAGGACCAGCAGTGTTGGTGAGTTGGATGATCTTAACAGAGAAGCACTGCTCAAGTCTTCCCTCTCCCGGTCGCTCGACGAAATCATCGACGACAAACTGTAAGCACCCCTTTTACTTTCTCCTGATAACATATTATAACCCCCACGTGCGGGTTATTGATCTTGTTCGAATTCTCCAGCGGGGAGTACAATCAGAGCAGTGAAGTACACTTTTGTAATTTATCTTTCTAATGTCGTCTAAGCAGTCGATATCGTTTCAGAATAAAGAAGCAATCTGGCAGTAAATCAGCAGACTTTCTCCTGATAACATATTATAACCCCCACGTGCGGGTTATTGATCTTGTTCGAATTCTCCAGCGGGGAGTACAATCAGAGCAGTGAAGTACACTTTTGTAATTTATCTTTCTAATGTCGTCTAAGCAGTCGATATCGTTTCAGAATAAAGAAGCAATCTGGCAGTAAATCAGCAGACAGCGAAGAAACTACAAGTAAAGATCAGGATGATAAGGGAGAGTCGAGTGACAGCAGCGTCTTCTCTGACGGGGAGTCTATTTTTAGGACTAGTTTTGTGACCATCAGTCAATACAGGTTAACTTTACTGATATTTAACCTGGTGTAGCCAGTCCCTGGCTCTATGATATGAAGGAATTGTTTTATTTCTAAATGAAAAGCTCGATTACCGTTAAAATAACTCTCGTAACTTCCTTAACGTTAAAATTTATTCCGATATGGGGACGGCTTAGTGATTTGATTATGTGTTAGAGATCTTCGGAATTACAGAAAATACTTTATCAAAATACCCTCATCATCTCAGAGAAGTAAATGTCATGAACAACTACTTTGGGATAGGACTTGATGCCAGAATCAGTCTAGAATTTCATCTGAAACGAGAGGAGCATCCGGAAAAGTTTCACAGCAGGGCTAAAAACATTATGAGGTGATTTAGACAATATACTGTAAAACAAAGATATTATCATTAATTATTACAGTATTGTATTGATTGTGTAATTCTTGTTTATTATTAATCCTTTGTTATCGAAAGAAAATAAATCTTGGGAATCGACAACGAGGAATTTGTACATCATTTATCTACTGTCCAAATCAACAATTTTAGTTTCCCGAACTCATCTCACAAATCATGTTAGGTACGGTGTGATAAGCGGGAGGCAGTTCTTTATGAACAAATACAAGAACCTGAATCAGAGAGTACATATGGAATGCGATGGCATTCCTGTCCAACTCCCAACCCTACAGGTTAATAAATATTGGCTAGTTAATACTTCAATACCTCCTTATTCAATTGTATACAAATTTACAAACACAAACGTTGATGAAATGTTTGTAAGATGAAATTATTAATTTTAATAGAGTAGTAATAATATACTTTTCCAGGGAATAGTTGTGTTAAACATAACAAGTTACATGGGTGGCACTAACTTTTGGGGGACAGGAAAAGGAGACGACGGGTTTAACACACCTGCTATCGGTAATTTCACTGCTAATATTCAGTTAATCCATTGCTTTTATTCTTATTTCAACATCTATTAAAACTAAAACATTACCAAAGATTTGCCCATGTAAATGTGTATACTGTATAATATATTGTATTGAAATGTTCCACCACTAGATGACAGGATGCTAGAAGTAGTGGGCGTGGTAGGCGTTCCACAGCTTGGTATTTCTTACATGATTGGTGGTCTACAGCATCACAGGTTAGAGACGCCTTATTATTATCGTGGAGGGGAAGAGTGGGTTTTCCATTGTCAACATCATTTTATCGGTCCCTTTTAATGTCCAGAATTGGGATTTTTAAAGCAAAATTGTTCCGGTTCAGACTATAGTTTTTGACTGTTGTGACTCGAATTAAGAATTATATATATATTAAATGTATTCTCTTCTTAAATTCAATTTAAATGCTAGGTTAGCGCAGTGCAGGAGTGTACGTTTCACTGTACTAGGGGACCCTGTACCAGTACAAGTAGACGGTGAGGCTTGGATGCAGGAGCCTGGATATATCAAGATTATACACAAGAACAGGGCTCAGATGCTGTTCAGGTGAATATGAGTTACCATGACAACTACACTAGTTACCATGACAACTACACTAGTTACCATGACAACTACACTAGTTACCATGACAACTATATTAAGATTATACACAAGAACAGGGCTCAGATGCTGTTCAGGTGAATATGAGACAGGATGCTAGGAACAAACGGAGGAACGCTTGATGGAGATCTTCCAAGCAATGAGATGATAATAAACTAAGTTCGCAAAAATCTTATTATGAACTTTATAAAGCAACGTTTCATCATCACTTAACTGTTACACCGTCCTCCCAGGGATAAGAACTTCAAGCACACACTGTCAGAGTGGAACAGTAAGATGGAAGCAGTGAGGGTGGAGCGAGGACTGATGAGCGAGGTGGAGGTGCAGGTTATGCCTAAAGTCTGCGAAGCTGTCAAGAATCTCATTACACTGTGAGTTATAACTTGATAGTGCTTGTTTGTTCAGGCTCTTAAGAATTGCAAACTCAATAGGTGATGCTTAAAGAAGGTAAACACTGTTTTTTAAGTTACTTTTTACGGGAGATTGTTTACGAACTGTTACAGGTAACATGTATCATAGTACTACACTATAATCACTAGCTCTCTCTAAGTAGGTTACAGGAACTTTTCCCGTTAACTTTCCCCTTTTTCCGTTTACCCACACATCATCTGTGCTGGTTCCATTGTCACGTGATATTGTGATACTTTGTCCGGCTCTGAAGCTCATTTGGTGTTCGTCCTCAGCTCTGAAATCCCAAACTGCTACAACCTCCTCTGTTCCTCCGGCCTTTACTAGAGGGTCAAACCTACAAAATAATAGTACAAATATACTGCTACAACCTCTTCTGTTCCTCCTGCCTTTACTAGAGGATCAAACCTACAAAATAATAGTACAGATGTACTTGAAATTTTACTGGTCATATTCTAAAATGTGACTAAATGCTCATACTCTTACTTTCTTCTTACTTTAACTGCGTAAGAAACTTTTATTCTAAAATACTAAAACAAATCAACTAACTTGGCAATGCCGTATTGTAAAGTTAAATTCTTCTCTGCCTCGCCCAGAACTTCATCTATGTCTTCTTCTAGTAAACCTAGTTCTATTTTCTCCTGGTAATATTTGTGATAAGATCTGTGTCCGAGTTCCGACAACCCGCTATGATATTTAGAAACGTATGCGGAGGGTAATGATATTTAGATTCCTAAATTCTATGATTTGCATTTCTTTGGTTTGAATAATGCGCGATGTATTGATTATTAACTAGAGCTGCATGAGTGGAAGGTATCAAATTGTGTAATAAACAGGACCCGACCTGTTTGATGATTTTGGCCAGCTTGTAATCGAGCTCCGAGTTGTTCAGTCCACTTGGACGAGGGCCAAATTGTCGTGGTCTTCTTATCCCGGTCATTGTTATGAACTCCGTCAATGAGTTGTACATCCTCTCACAGATCTCTGTGAAATTGATATAATCACTTCTACTTGATTTGGTCCGGAGACTAGATTTGACTATTAATAAAATGACCCAATATACAGTCAATGATCAAAACGTTTTAAATTTTGCTAATTCAAATGAAAGAAAAATTTCGAAAATGTCCTACCGGTAGGACATTTTCAAATGGTACTGCGACAATTGACCCCCCGACAATTGACCACCCGACAATTGACCCCCGACAATTGAATCCCTATGTAATTACGCTGGGGTCAATTGTCGCGAAATCTAGGGCTTGTCGCGAAATCTACGACAATTGACCCCCCGACAATTGACCCCCCGACAATTGACCCCCCGACAATGGACCCCCCGACAATTGACCCCCCGACAATTAACCCCCCCGACAATTGACCCCCCGACAATTGACCCCCCGACAATTGACCCCCCGACAATTGACCCCCCGACAATGGAAGGAAAATTTTGAAAACGTCCTTCCGGTAGATTTGAGCTTTTAGTTTTCGCAACCCAAATTTCACTGTATTACTGAATTTTTCTGGAATTAAATGACCAGGCTTTGAAAGCTTGATAATATATGTGTATATATTAATTAGTATTATGTTAATATGTGATAATATATGTGTATATATTAATTAGTATTATGTTAATATGTGATAATATATGTGTATATATTAATTAGTATCATGTTAATATGTGATAATATATGTGTATATATTAATTACCCGCACAATCCGTGTAGTGATCTCTGTGTATCTTACTCAGACTCTCCAGTAAATGTATCTGCTCTGTGTTTTTCCTGTCACACTCCGTTAACAAATCATTGACTAGCTCGAACTGGTCCCCCAGTGCTGTCTTCACCTCTTTCATTTCTTTCTCGACTTCCTGGTCAAAAAATGTTTCCAATTGCAATTTAGGGTACTTTATTTGTTGATGAAAACCATTCAGAAACAATTAAAGAAGTAAATCAGCGACAATGGGTTCAAGTCATTTCAGGTCTAGTATTCCCTAACTTAATAAAATTAACATTTTGAGGCAAACATATTTCACCACTGCGTTACGAAGAGTAATGTAAAATGTCCGGAGACTACCTTCATCTCGTCAGCAGTATCCACACTATGATACCTCAGCTTTGCCGCATCTACATCCAACCTCTTGTTAGTCAGCAAGTCCCTCTCATTCTCTATAGCTTCAATAACCGTCTCCCCCCGGGAGTCGTTACATCTATTAACGTATTGTTCCTGTATCCTCTTTAGATAGTCCCTCTCTTTGAAGGACAATAGCAAAATGTACCTGACAAGTGTAAGGTTAGTTCCCTGAACTTCGCATGATTTGTCACACTTACTTTCTATCGTTATCGTAAGTTTTGTAATGAATAAACCTAAAAGATAAGCTCCAGTGAGCAGTCTCTTACCCTGCCCCCCCCCCCCCCCCTGGCTACGTGCCTGTCTCTCACCTACTCATCATGCCGAGCGCTTTCCCGAACGGACTGTCAATATTCTCTCCAGCCCTCTGCAGCACCAGTCCATACTGCTCAATCAGGGTCTTCAGCTCGTTATTATCTACCAGGTCCTCCAACAGTATCCCTGCCACGTCCTCTACTAGGTTCTTATCAAACGTGTCCACTGCTTCTAGCAGTGAGTCGCAGATACTCTCCTGGTACGTGGTGTCGCGTGAGTTGTGTCGCGTGAGTGTGACGTCGTCATAAGGACAAAACGAGTTGTGATTGTTCTAGAAGTTTCAACTATATATTATGTCTTCTACAAAACGATCAACTAATGAAAACCCTAATTAATTAGTAAAACTGTAATTAATTAGTAAAACTCTAATTAATTAGTAAAACTCTAATTAATTAGTAAAACTCTAATTAATTCGTTAAATTCTAATTAATTAGTAAAACTCTAATTAATCAGTAAAACTCTAATTAGTTAGTAAAACTCTAATTACCTGCCACTCGTTATGCTGGTCCACTCTGGTGCAGAGCTGATTGAACTCCTCAGAGAATGCTGTGCCGTGCTGCACCCCAATAGTTTCCCCTGTTCTCTGGAATATTCGGGCCAGGAACTGTGTTATACTGCTCATCTTCTTGTTCCCTGCTTTTATCTTAATAATGAATAAGGTTAAGGTTTAGTTTCAGTCATGAGCCAAGGAGGTAACGATTATAATTAAAAAATCTGAGATCAGGTTCAAGTATGATTTAACAAACTATACCGATACAAGTTACAAGTTGCAACAAATAGTTAAACAAACTACATGTATTCTATTTCTAAACAGTATAGTGTTGTAGTTAGTGAATATTGCGGTGTTGTCTGCTATATGTACTGTGTTGTCTGCTATATGTACTGTGTTGTCTGTGTTACAACACCACACCGCAGGTTCGTGTCACTGTACAAAGAGGCTGAGGGGGACGAGGATCTACTGATAAGAGCGGGCAGAACCCAATCAGACATAGACATCCTCTTTAGTAGACCTAACCCACAGGTAACCCCCCGGCCCCCACTTCTCAGCCCCCCCCCCCCCCCCCTTCCCCCAGAACCCAATCAGGCAACCCCCTCCCCCCATCCTCTCGCGGGCACTCATTTTCGCAGATTTCTAAAATTTCTAGACGCATTCAATTTGGCGGCACAAATTTTCGCGGATTTTTGGGTCCTAAAAAATCGCGAAAATTAGTTCCTTGTGAAATTGAATGGTTTTACAGTATTCTTTCTAGAGCAGATATTCTTGCCATAAGAACAATTTTGTGGCGAATATTCTGTGGACGAGGATTCTCAATTAGAAAACCCCCTCTCACCCCCCCCCCCCCCCTGATCACGAGGATTCTCAATTAGAAACCCCGCCCTCTCACCCCCCCCCCCCCTGATCACGAGGATTCTCAATTAGAAACTCCACCCTCTCACCCCCCCCCCCCCCTGATCACGAGGATTCTCAATTAGAAACCCCCCCCCACCCCCCCCCCCCCCCCCCCCCCCCCCCCCCCAATTAGAAATGCGTTTCAGAAAGTGGACCACGCACAGTGTGTAGACTTTCTGAGCAACCTGAAGAGTATGCTGCAGGAGATATCCTGGTACATGAAAGTGAAACTACCCTCCATTCTCCCGGTAACTCTCACTTAATTCATTTCATCATCATCATAATTCTAGCTCTACAATCTACACATGCCAAAATCTTATCAATTGTTATTGCTTACAATTAAACGTGTGAAGGTGGAGAACAGCGCGTTAAGAGCACGAGTAGAGGGTGCCATAGCAACAACAGAGGAGGAACTCAGACTTCTTCCAGATAGGGTCATCCGACAAGCTAGCTCTCAGCTTCACGACTCCCATACAGGTTAACATGGTGTCACAGCATGGTGTCCGAACATGGTGTCACAGCATGGTGTCACAACATCACAACATGTCACAGTGCATTATTACAACACGATCAATTCAATTATCTTACTGTTATGCTGCAATTGTATGGACACTGTCTTTCACCAATGTATTTTGTTTCAAGGTTACAAAGTACGCAGATTCTTGCGGAGTTTGTCCAGGTTAAAGATCACAGCAACAGCTCAGTCTCCTTTTGACTTCGAGTCTTCATCTCCAGACACACCTCCAGGTAACTAGGGGTAACTAGGGATAATACTAGGGGTAATACTAGGGGTAACTAGGGGTAGTTATCGTGACAATATGCCTAGTGATTACTAGTAACCAGTAACCTGATTAACCTCCACCTCAGGTGACCACACTAAGGACGTGTCGGAGTGGGATCTAGATCACGTGATAAGGTGGTTAAATCACTTGGACCTCAGTCAGTACTGTGATGTGTTCAAGTCTCACGATATTCACGGTAGAGAGCTCCTCGAACTCTCTCACCAGGTGCACACCCCATCTCCCCCTATCTCCCCCACTTTATCCTTAGTGTCCTTAGTATCCTTAGTGTCCTTAGTTCCTTATTTTTCTAATTTGGTGATTTTCATTCATTCCCAACGTTTTAGGGAAAGAAAGTTTCGTTTCACGCAATCGTTCAAGCAGACCCACCAACTTTTAAAAGTTTACTATTAATTTCCATAATTTGCAGGATATCAAAGATCTGGGGCTGGTGAAGGTAGGACACATCAAGCGACTTCTGAACGCTATCAGTGAGTTGAAACAGGCGTCCCAGGGAGGAAGTGGGAGCACTAGACGCATGTCCTCTCACAAGTAACACCACTAACTGGAACTATCTGTGTAGTAACACCTGTGTAGTAACACCTGTGAACTAACACCTGTGAACTAACACCTGTGAACTAACACCTTCTGTAATCTGTAGGTACAAGATACCTTGCTCTGTAGCGTGTAACTTCTTTCTGTCGGGCTGTAGATTGCTGGACAATCCTGCCCTAAGCAACACTCTCTGTAGTGTTCCGTAAACTGTTTTAACTTAATTGCATGGATACTGTTTTTTGGGTATTTAATAACGTTTAATTTGTGGGTTATTTATTTCGAAATCTAATATAAATATGCTTTGTTAGTTTATAAACATCAACATTGAAATAACTTCAGTGTTTCATCCTATCACATTTCTGCTAGAACAACTGTTTATTTATAGTAAGATTATTGGTTAATAAAACGGCTATATTCGTAATTGTTATAATTCAGATTCTTTTCTTAACTATCAGATACATAAGCTCATAAGGTTTCATTTCCTTCATGTGCAGCATATTATGAAGGAAATGAAACCTTACATATCGTATTGTTAAGAAAAGTTATTGTCAAGATATTAGAGCCATGGTTACAGGTATTAAAAATGTTAAATTATTACATACTTTTATTTATTAATGTGGTAATATTGATAAGTTGGTAATATTGTATAATTTGTATCGAATTTACTGCGAATCAACTGGATGATATCTAACTGTTAATTGTTTTGTTAATTGTTACACTGGGCATGCTGGTGTTCGTGAGGTTTGATGAGAATGTTAAATACAGTAAAACCTCTTTATACCAGGCTTCTCGGGGGAGACGAAAAGTAGACGGTATAGAAAAAAACCTGGTATAGAAAGGCCAAGGATCACATCCCAATCTGTAATAAAATAACCTTTACTCATATACTCCATAAGGGGCCTAATATGGTACCCACAAAATACAAGCTAATTGACAAAAAGCTCAGGGGAAAGAAGAGGCCTTATATAGAGAGGCACGGTATAGAGAGGCACGGTATAGAGAGGCACGGTACAGAGAGGCACGGTACAGAGAGGCACGGTACAGAGAGGCACGGTATAGAGAGGCACGGTACAGAGACTAGAGAGGCACGGTACAGAGAGGCACGGTATAGAGAGGCACGGTATAGAGAGGCACGGTACAGAGAGGCACGGTATAGAGAGGCACGGTATAGAGAGGCACGGTGCAGAGAGGCACGGTATAGAGAGGCACGGTACAGAGAGGAACGGTACAGAGAGGCACGGTATAGAGAGGCACGGTATAGAGAGGCACGGTATAGAGAGGCACGGTATAGAGAGGCACGGTACAGAGAGGCACGGTATAGAGAGGCACGGTATAGAGAGGCACGATACAGAGAGGCACGGTACAGAGAGGCACGGTACAGAGAGGCACGGTACAGAGAGGCACGGTACAGAGAGGCACGGTACAGAGAGGCACGGTACAGAGAGGCACGGTACAGAGAGGCACGGTACAGAGAGGCACGGTACAGAGAGGCACGGTACAGAGAGGCACGGTATAGAGAGGCACGGTACAGAGAGGCACGGTATAGAGAGGCACGGTATAGAGAGGCACGGCATAGAGAGGCACGGTATAGAGAGGCACGGTATAGAGAGGCACGGTATAGAGAGGCACGGTATAGAGAGGCACGGTATAGAGAGGCACGGTATAGAGAGGCACGGTATAGAGAGGCACGTATAGAGAGGCACGGTATAGAGAGGCACGGTATAGAGAGGCACGGTATAGAGAGGCACGGTATAGAGAGGCACGGTATAGAGAGGCACGGTATAGAGAGGCACGGTACAGAGAGGCACGGTACAGAGAGGATCGACTGTAATGGGTTATCATGTTTTAGTTAGATTAATTATACACCTTCAGTAATTTTACTAGCATAGCAATTGATTCAGAAATCATACTTTTAAATAACCATACTTACAAGTTTGCGGGCATACATTAATATCAATCAACTGTGGGCTGTCGTGTGATTAGTACATTTACAATTATACAACTGCAGCAGGCACGTAGCCAGGGGGGGCTAGGGGGGCGGCAGCCCCCCCGGAAAAAATCGAACCCCAGAAAAAGATAAGCCCCCTAGTCCCCATGGTCGCCTGGTAACTGGGCTGTGTTTATGACTGCAGTCAGTCAAAGATTTGATCTGTGGATGAGTAAATATATGTCATTAAATCCAAGCAAACATTCTAGAAGACTTCTATAATTATAGTCAATAGTGTCCCCTAGACCGTAGGAAATGTAAAAATCTTAAGACGATGAGGCCTGAGTAAGTCGTAAATTTTGATTGGAGAATGCAGATTGCTGTTGTGAAGTTACCAAATTTACGTGAGTACTTGATTCTTTTCAATCCCAGTTTATTGCTGTCCTACAAATTTCTTTAATGCCAAATGTCGTCTAAAACACCCTGTTTCGCAAAAAATTTCCGTGGGGCTGCGCCCCCCTAGCCCCCGCCAAGGGGCTCCGCCCCTGGACCCCGCTGGGGGCTGCGCCCCCAGACCCCTGCCACAGCTTGCTCGCTTCGCTCGCTGCGCAGCTTCATTGGACGCGTCGGCTCGCTTCGCTCGCCGACAGCCCCCCTCAAAGAAAAATCCTGGCTACGTCCCTGAACTGCAGCTGCGTTAATAGTAGTAGCAGTTGTGTTACTAGTTAATAGTAGTAGCAGTTGTGTTACTAATTAATAGTAGTAGCAGTTGTGTTACTAGTTAATAGTGGTAGCAGTTGTGTTACTAGTTAATAATAGTAGCAGTTGTGTTACTAGTTAATAGAAGTAGCAGTTGTGTTACTAGTTAATAGTAGTAGCAGTTGTGTTACTATAGTTAATAGTACCTAGTAACAGTTGTGTTACTAGTTAATAGTAGTAGCAGTTGTGTTACTAGTTCAGTTATTAACTGCTTTCTAATATGCTGTTCTGCAGAATACAGATGCATTGTTTATTTCTCGCCATTTCAATTTAATTATAATTAAATTTCCACATTTTACGTCCGATTTTCACATTCTTTGACTTATTTTGTACATTAGAAAAATAGTATATCACTATAATTGGTTAATTTTGCATCCCTTTTTGCATATAAAAGTTGACATCCAAAATCGGCCTGAGCTATCTTGGTACAGATGATTAATCTTGATGAGGTACTTTCTCGAAGTCTGATAGTGCTAATATAAGAGTGTATTCCTGTACTAACACATTACACCGTGGAATCCTTTTTTATCTGGTTCTACCAAAACCCTGAATTTTGGTTTATGATGAAGGAGCACTTTTTCTTTATAGTATAGTATTTAAGAGGATACTAAAGTATGGACTAGTGAACTGTAATAATATAATGACCACCATGAGACTGAGAATAACTGCAGTGCAGCTGCTGCTTGATTTCTATGGTTACCATTTCAACCCACTGAGTTGTTGCCCCTTACCTGACCTTTACTACGGTCTGCTGATCGATAATCAGTTTAATAAATACCGAAAAATCGGGGGGAAAAAAGCATTTATTTTTGAGCTTTAGTTTTTGCTATCTTCGTTGACACTAAGGATAAGTTTTTTAGAAAATTAACTCAGGAACTGACTAATGTATGGGGCTGTAACGATCATAATACCACCATAATATTGAGAATTGCAGCTGCTGCCTGATTTCTATGATTACCATTTTTGTCTTTTAGGCCCTTACCTGACCCCTGGTACTGGTTGGTGATCGATAATCAGTTATCACCTGTTTAATAAATACCAAAAATCGAATCAAAAGAATTAAATTTTAAGCATTAATCTTTGCTTTGTTCCTTGACACAGCCTTAAGAATAGATTTTTTAGAAAATTACCCAGAGCCTGACGTTGATCCTATATATATAACTAGAAAAGTAGAAAACCCGTGGTCATAGGAAGGAAGCTAATAGTAATTTTTGTTAGTAAGTTTAAATCGCGTCAAAAAATATTCTACACAACCGAAAATACAGCCAATTTAAATGTTGCTCGTACTAAACACAGCGTAATATCAACAAAATTAAGCAAAATGACGTTAAAATAATCATTGCACGTGCACGTGCGTGAAATAACCCTCGTTACCATGGTAACTGCGAAAGTTCATATTTTTCATCTAATTTGCACGTAGGCGGTCGAACAGCATATATTATACAGAAATAATTCTTTGAATTATAGTAGAGACTAGAAAACCCGTGGTCACAGGGAGAAAGCTAATACTAATAGTATTATTTTGTAGTCAGTTTTTATCGCATTAAAAAACATCCGTCACAACCGAAGATACAGCCGATTTAAATGTTGCTTGTACTAAACACAGCGTAATATCAACAAAACCGATCAAAATGACGTTAAAACAATCATTGCACGTGCACGTGCGTGTAACAATCCTCGTTACCATGGTTACTAACTTACTACGCAACTTCCTATTTCTCGTCTAATTTGCACGTGGGCGGTCGTACAGACAGACAGACAGCAGAAATAATTTTTTGAATTATAGTAGAGTGGCCTAGTGGTTAGAGCTTCCGCCTTCTGTACAGAAGGTTAAGGGTTCGAATCCCAGTATCACCCAGTCTAGGGAGTAGCTAAGGATTCATTGGATCTATGCGATCTCCTCGGTAGACTCAGCCGAATGATAGGAAACTTGATTGAGGGTTAAATGAGGAGGGGTGCCTGTGCCAAAAGATCAAGTATCTTAGGATACTCCTTCAGAACATCTACAATGTAGTGTACTGTAAAACAAGGGCGGTCGAACTATTCGATGACCCTGTAGAGGAATCTACGAACTTTACAAATTACAAAAAAAAAAAAAAAGTACAATTAGAGATATCCACGCAGCCTAGCGGGCGGAAATTTATATCGCCCGCGTCCTCGCGGCGATATATTATTATATCCAAAGTTTGTTCGCCAATGGGGTGTGTCTGGGTGTTAAATATCTTCAAGGTGGGTGCTACTTGTGATGAACTCTAGAAGGATGGGATGGTAATACTCGGTCTGGCCGCCTGGAAGCCCATAGAATTCCAGTTCAGAAACCGAGTAAAGGAGTAAGGAGGTGCGGCTACTGATGAGAAGCCTCCTAATTAAAGTTTATTTGGGTTAGAAACGACATCTGGGTCCCTACCCTCGCACAAGATTATTCTCAATTTTTTTGTAGTTGTTGTGTTCCACAACTGGAAAATCCTGGCACATTTTCGTGTAGTAAAAGCTTAAAAGAGGATTTTGTCACTTTCAACCGAGATTCACTGAGCTTGCTACTGAGCTACTGCTTCCTATTTGTGTGTTGAGGGAATACCCTTTGACTTTTTGGCATCTGCCCAGAGAGACCATTTAATCGAAATCATGCGCCAAGGTGTAAGAAGAGCCAGGAATTCAACAATGTAGTGTTCATGAATATGGACTCCATAGTATGCTCCATATTATGGAGCATAATACAGACTACTGAAGCTCATAAAGGCCAATAACACGGACTAACCGTTATAACAACCTTCGGCTTGAGATATTCTCGACGCCCCAAATTATCAAAATTATCCTAATTTTGATTCAAACTCCTCAGTCCTCCCAAAACTCCTTTGATCGCCGTTCTTCGGATGATGATTAATCACTCTACACTCGACTGTCACGTGACTTTTTCTACTCGTTCTCTAGCTGGTCCTGAACGACTATTCGAAACCCTAACCCTCTAATCTGATCCCAACCCTAACCCTAACCCAATCCTTAATAAAAGCATATGCTGAAACCCTAACCCTAACGAGAAATTGGACTAACTTCCTTATACGGTCATATCACGTGATCGAGAGTGATTCGA